ACTAATTATATAATAATGTTATTTGTGATAGATAAAAAAACAACACCCAATCATACATCCTATCATAGATAAAAGAACTTTTCTTAACTCATTCAAATACAAACTCTACAAGAAAGGATTAATTTCATCTAATATGGTTATAAAACAACATATAATATAGCTCATAGATCAAAATATTAAGAATTAAATCTTACTTCATATTTTATAATAAATTCACAAACAAATCACATGCAATCCTAAGCCTCTAGCCAACTACCAGCACGCATACCACAATAGTACAAATCAAAGGACATAAAACATAACAATGTAGCTCTACTCCTCCTAAGCCTTCTCTGACATCCTTCCTTTAAATCTTTTGCCTGAAAAATGTTAAACAATAGGGATGAGATAACGTCTTAGTAACTAAATCCCTACCTATCGCACACAATAGCATGGGCTAGTGAGGTGTCAAGTGGGATATACAGAGTTAATAACAGTCAATAGCCATTTATCTAACAATTAAACTCACAAGAACCATATAGGTCAAATATATTTGCCAATCTCATGCAGCTGATAATTTCAAAAGAGATAACATACTTTCATTTATTCAAAAGATATAAATATCAATGAAGATTTCATGTTATATGCAGTTCATGAACTTCAAATCCATCCTTATATCCTCCTTATTTCTGCCGATTGGACTCATGGGCTAAGTTCTTTCCATTTGACTAGCTACTCTGACAAACTCACCACACGAGTGATATGGACCGGCCAAAGACCACAGAGCACTCCGTGGACCATGGGTTCCCTATCAAAGAACTAGTGGGGTGTTGCGGTCTCTTAAAGAACTAGGAGGACAATAATAGTGGCTAACCATAGAGCTCCGTATGGAGGCCAATACCATGTGGCATGTATACATCTGTATACTCCATTCATCTCCTTCCCCAACTAAACTAAATGCATAGGGTTCACAATAAAACATATATATGCACAATCAAACGAATTCCAGAATAATATCTCATAGTTACAATCATTAATTTCTAACACTACAAATATTTCAACTCTTTTTCAAAATAGCATCTCACAAGACAGTTTATACAAAACATAATATATATACACACAAAAATTGGTTATAAAATCACTCACTAAACTTATACCAGAGCATGCAACGGATAAAAATTTAGTTACCGGGTTTCCTAGCTAATAGTTAAGTACAAATAAGGCCCGTGCTCAAAAATACCACAATAGGGTTTATATCTAATAACTTGTAGCTTAAAGATTGAATTGACGATCTAACCGTTGAAACTAATGAGTATGAAGTCTAAGACCGGCTGATCAAATTGCAGCTTGATCCAACGGTTCACAAACTTGTAAACAGCACTTTACTGAGACTATCTCAGTTTTGTACGAAAATTATTTAATTCATCTTTAACTCTCTCCTACTACCACCTATATATAGGCTCCTAGAACTCCCTCTTCTCATCATTTAATCGATGTGGGACTTCTTAACATTGCTATTTTATCTATTTTCTCACACACACACACACATACATAAAATCATAATTATTTTAATTACATATATATTTAACCTCTACCTATTCTATGAAAATTTGTTTAAATATTAGAGATATGAAAATTAGAATATTACATTTTGTTTGTAATATTTGATTTTTGGACATGGAGTTGATGTTGAATTATTGCGGGTTGTGGTTGGTGCCTTTTAACACTTCTAAATGTTTTAACTCTTGTAATATTTGTTTGTAATGTTATAATTTGTAATGATGAATGTGTTGAAGTATCCGTAGAGCACCGTTCGAATGCCCCAGAAGATGGATCATCCATCCGTGGGGCATAAACCTGATTTATCACCACCAACACCAGATTGATTGAGCAGAAATGAAAGAATCTATCTATGAGTGATTCTGATGATTTAGGGATTTACTAACCTGATTGTCATAAGCATCGCCAAATGCGAGACTGATCTGATCTCTGGTGTATCGAGGTGAAGAGCAGCCTGTCTTTATGGACATTCTGTATGAACAACTCGCCTAAAGCAGCAGCTTTTTATTTTTTTTATTTTTAAATAGCTCGCCCGCCAACCAGCCTTGGCAGGTGTGGGCTAGCATAGGTGCGAGCTACTTCAACCCACACCGCTTTCAGCCCGTTCCGCTGCAGGCTGGCTCGTATCCGCTCTGTCAGCCCGTATTACTAGTTCTATAGGTAAGACAGGTACAACTAGCTTCACTGATATTAATGATATCATTTTTTTCAAAAAAAAAAAACTCAATTTCATATTAGTTCCTAAAATTTTTGTAAAAATTAAGTCATTTTGAGAGGTATTATGAAATTCTCATATTTCAGTGGTCTTTATATGTTCTTTTTCCCACTACCTCCAGTTTTAGATACGGGTTTGAATTTGATCCTAAATATAAGAACTCAATCCATTTTGTTTCTCATCTTTTTCTGAAATATTCTTATTAATTGTAAAGGTTTCCTCCAAGAATAATTCTAATCATCCAATATATATGATTGAATATGATAATTTAAAAAGACAAACACGCATTTGTGACATGTTATTATTTGTTATTCAATAGATTTTGCAATTTTCACAATCTTATTTTGCAATTTTTCCTTTATTTTATGTTCCATCACTAAGGAATTGTTCGGAATCGTGTTGAAAAGCACTTATAAGCACATTTCATGTCATTCAAAATAAAACTCTTCTTATATACTTACGTCATATTTTGCAAATTAAGATTAAAATATTATTTATAGACTATTCCGAGCATGACATGGACAAACACAAAATAAAGGGAGAATGACCAAAAAAAAAGTTGGAAATTACTAAATCCCAAATCAAGTTTGATAACAATATTTTATTTAGTATTGACAATACTAAATTTGCAAATAACAATAAAATTTTATTGATATTCTTTATTTGACATTTACAGATTTTCAACTTTTTTTAAAATTATTTTTCCCAAAATAAAAGTAACACACAATCGGATAGTAGCCCAATTGGACGGTGTGCATTTACGAAGAAAACCCAAAATTGGATAGTGGGTCAACGGCCCATTTATTTATTTTCCTTCTTTCCTTCTAACATAATGGGCCAGGGGCCCAACATCCAAACACATTGATGGGCTCCACTGTGTTTTTTTTTTTAAGTTTGCGTTTGTTTGGGATGATACCATTTCCATGCCTTCTGAATTTGTGCTTCTGAAGTTTGTGAAATTGGAGGCAAAGGGCTAGTATTTTATCTTCACTTGTATATACATTCTAAGGCAAAATTATATCCAATGCAAAGTATACTACATGTTACTCAGCTTATTCAAATTCATTTTATTGCTCATGATGTAAGAAAAATATATTTTGAAATAAAATATAACGATTATATCTCTAATTTTAAAAGTAATAGAAATTATTAGTTGAGAACCATAAATGTATAACAACACTGTTTTAAAAAATATATATATACACATAAGAGTTTGATCTTAAAAGAACAAATTCTTCTGCATCTTATATAATTTAATACCTTATGCCTTTTTTCCCCCCCTGACTTGATCATTTGTGAAATCACAAAGCGCTCTTGTTTTTTCCATCTAACTTTCTCCCTTGGCACTCTGTGTAGCACGTCCAAAAATGCTTCGTCATCACTCTTCAGTTTCTTGTCCTTTAAAAGTTATGCCAAGATGGATGGACAATCACCTTTAATTGGCATAAGGCAAAATATATTTTACAATGTATCTTTTAATAAGGGTATTTTAGTTTAATAATACTACTTTCAGTAGACTAATTTGAATAGATTAAGAAAATCAAATCAATCATTTAATTATAACAAATGTGACATAATCTCTCTAAAATACTCCTTTATAACGATAGATCATATATCAATTTATAAGTTAGTTAAATTAGTTTGGAAAAAAATTATAAATATAAAAATAAAGTAAACTGAAATTTTATATTTATGGTCAAATCTCATCTTCCAATTAGTTCTTATATTAACGACTAGGGTTAGTACTTTATATAATAATTGATGATAACGATCCCTTAATCCTTGCGCAAAACCTTAAGCAAGAAAAGCATCGAAACATACATGAGGATATATTGGTGCATTATGACTGGTTTAAGGTACATATATAAAGACAAAATATATGTAGTTACTTGAAAGATTAAAAAAGAATCAGATGTTGTTCACCCACTGCATCTCTTAGCTTGGTCGGTACCAAGAAAGTTAGAAGACTCCGATATTAGTCGTAATATCTAGCTAACACTATCACTAACCCCCCAATTGATTCAGATTTCCAGGTCTTTTATGGTTACGTCTTTTTTTTGACCAGATTATGGTTACGTCTACTCCTTCAGTTCTTTAGTTTTTATATAGAAGTCATACCTTCATTAAAATAATCCTTTAATTCGTATACAAAGGCTAGAATATCGATCAGAGATCTCTGAGGACAAGATATGACATTTAATAAAACAAATGATCCTGTCTTGTTCATACAGAGAAAGTTACACTGCATTTAATATGTTACGTTACCTTTTCCCAGAACCTCCTCCAAATAGTTTCTTCATTTAAATTAATACATATAATATTAATATATGGGAAAATTGTAAAAAAAACCTTGGAATTGTAAAAACGCAGTTAGGGACCCTTGACAATTTGACTTTAGGTTTTGACAAGAATAATATGCTGTGAAGTTGTCAAAACCCAAAGTGAAGTTGTCAATGGTCTCTATCTGCGTTTTTGCAATTCCAAGATCTTTTTTTACAATTTCCTCTTAATATTTTCATAAACATAAGCATTATTATAATACAATTGATGTTGGAGCAGAAGGTTTTATACAGTGTCTGCATGTAAATATTCATGAAGTAGTTTAACTTGGGATAAAACTTAACCCCAGAATATTTTTCTTTTCTATTAAAAATTCTGCATTCAAAATCATAAACATATTCAACCAAGTTGATTATGAGTAGCTAATTTAAAAAACCCTGCAATCTAATAATAGTGCGCTAATAAATCACCCAAATAAACTTTGGCAGTGCCAAAGCCAGCTTCAAAATCACCATATCAAAGCCAACAAACATTAATCTCAGATTCATCAGATCAGACGAATCCATGGAAAGCAAGCAAGCTATAGCTAAACTCTGAGAAGATAAATGCTTAACTCGGGGCCGCCACTTCCATCTGGGTTCATCAGATAGTAAGCTTCTGAGTCTTTAGACCCAACCACCCTCTCGAACCTCGCTCTCATGTACATCACCTCCCCCTCACCCTCCACACACCCACCGCATGTCGCCGGAATCACTCCGGCGCCCATCGATATCGGCTCCACCGCCTTCAGTATCTTCCACTCCTCTTCCCCGCATTCCACCCGACTCGCATACCCACATTTCCTTCCATTACAGTAACTTCTCCAAACTGGCTCCTCGACCAGCTTCCCACTGCCACTACCACCACCATTACTCTTCTTACCCTTGTTGTTCTTCTTCTTCTCGCATTCCAACGCGATTCTCACTAACCCAGAAGCCATCTCTCTCACCAGCACGCTGGTGGGCGTGGGTAGCTCGATCAGGAACGGTGGGTGCGACTTGGGGTCCTCCTGGAAGGCTATGTGGGCGCGCCCTCGACGGTTTCCGAAGAGGGTTCCGACCACTCGTGTTCCGACAAGAGAGGAGGAAGGGGAACGGCTTTTGGTGAAGAGGGTGAGGGCGGATTTGAATCTCGAAACAGAGTTACTATTATTCTTCCTGGGAAATTGCTGTTCGTGGCAGAAATGGTGGGACGACGGCGTGATGTTAAGGACTTGTTCTTCGATGTCGTCGTCGTCTTCTTGGACGAGTTTCTTGTTGAAATGGAAGTACCTTCTGGAGAAGGAGAAGGAAGAGTCATGGGGAGACTTGGCCATTATCGTCTTCATGGTGAAGAGAGAGAGAAAGAGAAATTAAGGCAGAGAATCAGGACAAGCTTTATGGTTGGCTATGAACGGAGATCCATGGAGGTGAACAGATAAGGGAAATGGCGGGGGAGATTAATTTATTGCATGCACTGGTACGAGAGCTTGGTGTGTGAGAGTGAGATATAGATATAGAGAGTGGATGAGGATTAGTGGGCAGTTTGGAGAATGGGAAATAAAGAAGGAAGGTGAGCAGCCACACCTACCTGTGGGGATGAAGAAGAAGACAGTGAGGTTATGGCGGTGGGGTCATAGACTCATTGCCCACAGGAAGAAAGACATTAGTCTACTGTATGTTGTCAAGACTCAAGACATGTTGCTGTTTCCAACAGTAGATTATGGGCTCTCCCAGATCACCCGGATGCCAGATTTAAAAAAAAAAAAAAAATTTCAATAAATGTTTTTTTAACTATAATAATTTTTTTTTTCAATTTTATGGTTAAAATGCATGCATGCTCAAATCCCAACTATTTTATTTTTACTTATAAATTTAGGACTTAGTTGGATTTTTTTTTTAATTTCTTGATTTTAATTAATTATATCTTGATTATTTATTTTATGGGTATCATAAAAGTCTGCAGATGTTGATTTTTTTTCCTTTTCTTTTTGACAATATTGATCATATGATATATTATAGCAAGAGAGAGAGAGAGTCCTCATCACTCATAGTCATATATTTCTGACTCAAAATGAGCGACTCAAAATGAGCGAAACTGGAGAGGAAATTAGGAGAGGAAGAGAGAAGAGAGAAGAGAGGGAGGGGTTTAGGTGAAATATCACAATCAGGGGGAATGAGAATTGGGAAGGAAAGCAGGTAAAGGCACAACTACCCTACTATCAAAACCTCTTCTTCTCCCTCCTCTCTCCTCATTCACATTTCCTTACAGACATCTCTTTCTATTGATGTCCACACACCTATTGCCTTGTAGCTAGTTAAATATGTGCTGCAAAATTTATATACGTAGTAGTCTATATAAGCAAGCTTTACACACACACATACATGTATATATAAATATATATACTTCTCATGTCCTTAGTATAGGATTTAATAGAAGAGTTGATATAGATGTTTATCATTTTTTTTTTCAAACTAACCTGATTAATATTCTTCTAATAATAATTAAGTAGGAGATGGAATGAGAGAATTAAAGAAGATATTTAGGGTGTTTTAGAAAAAGCATATCATATTAACTATTTTAATTAACATCCTTAATCTATTCAAATTAGTTAATTAGATTTTACATTAAGACCATAACAGCATATACACACACATATATATGCACGTAATGCTATTTCTTTCTTTGGGTTACAATATTTTGTCTCTTGTAGTTCTGGTCTCTGTTTCGTTCAGAAAGGATTTGCTAAGTGAACTCATTCTGGGGAATATTCTACTAAATGAACTAGTTTTGAAAGGGAATTAGTTTCGATACTCACCATGTTGATAAGCACTCTAAACTCATTAGATCTGAACCATCTATATCTAATTTAATTAATTATTTTTAAATAAAAAACTATTTTTTGAAAGAATTATAGTTAAGAGATTATCTCTATTTTAGATTCTATCTATTTAAAATAATTATTTTAAAAAATTAAAAATAAAAAGGAAATCAAATTCAGACCATCCAAATGAGATATAGACAATCCAGATCTAATGAGTCTATGATGCTCATCAAAATAATAAACACCAAAACTAGTTTTGAAAGAAAGACTTGGATCATCCACTAAATATATTTCACCTCCTACTTCCTCATTATCAACTTTACTACTATATTCGATTCTTAATAAAAGAGTTAGATAACTAATTTGTGAATATTAAAAAAAATAGTTAAACTAATTATTAATAATAAATATGTGTTGGTTTTTTTTTAACTACCATATTTATATTATAAGCTATTAATATTTTTTCCAGATTGTACTTTTAACTAAGGGTCCGTTTGGATCAGCGATTGAAAAGTAGCTTATTGAAAAAGTAGCTTTTAGAAAAGTAAAATTGGGTAAAAGCTAAATTGGATAAGCTGAATTGTGTTTGGATTAGAGTTCAGAAAAGCTAGTTTGTAAAAGTGAGATTGGTAAAAGATTGTTTGGATTATAGTTGAGTGAAAATAAGTTTAGTTGTAAAATGACCCAAATGAGTATGAGTTTTAATAAATAATGAAATATGATTAAAAAAATAATTTTACATAATACAATGAAATTAAAATAATTTAATATGAAGAAGTCACAAAAAATATTTTAAATATAAAGTGAAACATGAAAAAATAAAAGTATATTTTTATGAGAATATTTAAAAATAAAAGTATATTTCTAATTTATTCATTACTTTCAACTAATTTTAACTGATTTTTTATTATCTACAAATTAGTTATTTGAGGCTTATAATAAGAACCAAAGGAGGTAATAAATTTCTTAACTTTTTCTCTCTCCATATTTCAAAAGCTATAAGCCATAAGTTATAAGTCATAAGCTGTTAATTTTAGCTTGTGGCTTATTGTAGCTTTTCATACAAAAGCCCGATTGCAGAAAAGTTGATCCAAACATATCTATTGTGTCAATTGGGCTTATAGAGCTTATAAGCTACTTATAAGCTAAAAATAAGTAATGCCAAACAGGCACTAATATAGATATTGCTGAGGTACTAAAGAGAGGGATTGGGAATATATTCAAATTGATTAAGGATGGACTCAAATTAAATTTCCTACTCGCGGTTACTCCTACAAAAGGGTAGAGAGTCTATGTATATATTTTTTCTTTGTTTTTTTCCCCCCCTAAATACAACCCAACTTACAATTAAAATTTTGAAGGGATGATTAGTTGATGAAAGAGTTGTGAGAGGAAAATAAAATAATGAGAACTATGACGAAATCCTCAAGGCCAGTCAACAAACCATCTACTGCTATCTGCTAACTTGAAGCCCTATATGGTAAAAAGGGTCCCAGACATTTTTAATGGAGCACACCCCGTATTTAAAAATTTAGGGATGGTTACCAAATAACAGCTCCAATTTCCAAAAGCCACGGTTAAGATATCATCATCATGATGTGTGTGTAATACTGTAATTGGAGGGCGAGTTTCACTATACCACCGTGGTACTTATTATTGTCATTTGCAGATTTTCTTATACATCAACAAGATTATTAAATAGATGAAATCTTTTATTTTATTACGGAGAGCATTGAATGTTAATATGTATTTTCTCTCACATATTTCCTGCTCTTTTCACATTTATTATAATTAACAGGGGTAGAATTAGAATTGAAGCATTAAAAGAATACAGATAACAAATAAAAAAGACTAAAATTCCTTCCTACAAGTCACAAATAATAAACATCAGAGTGATATATTTTATGTTTGTCTCATTGTCTTTCTGTTTTCCAGAAATTGCATTATCTTGTCCCATGAAACTACAAAGCCATTAAACTGCTTCCTACTGTTAACGAACATGTGACATATGCACTGGAAAAGGCCAATAAGCTACCACTTTTCAGCGTTTTTATAATTAAAAATGAGAATTATATGTGTACAGAAATATAATATAAGTCACAACAATATTTAGTTTTATAATGATAATACTCCTTCCGGTCTATTTTATAAGATCCTTTTAATTAAATTATGTAACTTAGAAAAATAATTAAAATTAGTTCAAAGCAATAAATAGGTAAAAGTTGAATCTTTTTTTTTCCCCTTCAAGTATGTCCTTATTTAACAAGGAAACAAATAAGATAGAGCAATACTAATAATGAGATAAAGAATAAAAGAGAATGAATCATGAGAAAAGGATAAGGAAAGAGAATAAAAAAATTAATTAAAGGCAAAATTGATAAAATTAGATTTAATGTTCACACATCCCCAAATAAGAACTTATAAATATGATCAAATCAATTCAAATTTATGGATCTTATAAAAAGCATGGGAGGAGTATACCGTAAGTATCTCAATGGCTTGGCACTTATTTTCATCGTTCTTACATGTGCTGTATATTTTATTTTCAATTGATTTTAAGAATGTGATGCTAAAATGAGAATAATAAGTCATTAGGAAAAATTACTCTTCTGGTTATAAATATAAGAATTATTTTATTACACCGCAAAATGAGTCTTACGTTTAGAATAAAAAAGTAATATGCAATTCCTTATAATTTTATCTCATTTTCAGTCAAGTCCGTGTAGCTTTTAGCCTTTTTAAGTTGGTTCTTATACTTTTCATAGTTATAGATAGTGATTTCTGTATTCATAATTTTGTTAATTTGTAAGAGAAGTACATTAATAGCTAATGGCGTGACTCGATCAGTTAGCATACACTTGAATTGATTTTTTCATGTAAATTTAAATAAAATCAAAATCAATTAAATTATAAATTATATGCGAATGCAAATATTCGATTACGAGTATAATAATTTATGTTGATAATAAATAAATCTCATTCAATATTTTATTGTTAAAAAGTTTCTTTTTATTTTGCATTTTGTGGCAAGTGACAACTTGCATGTCATTCCTTTAGTCACCATTCAAATAAGCTCCAATTAACAGATTATAAGGATTAATACCTATAATTTTGGAGAGAAAAAAACACTCTAAGAATCTGATAAAACAACTACAGTAAAGCCAATTAATTTTTATGACTGATTGGATAATTTAACATAATAAATACTCATCCAGTCTTTAATGTGAAACATATTTAACTAATTTGATTAGATTAAAAAAATTAGATAAGTTAATTAATTATAAAACATATGACATATTTTTTTTAAAATACTATAATCATTTTTTTTAGTTTCCTTCTTTCCTTATTTCCTTTCTACGCAGGTGAATGCACTGATAGGCTTATCAACGTTGATCGGGCCATACCCACTAGAATAGTCTAGACTCGCAGATCTTTTGTGTTTTTTTTGTTTCGGTAAACCGAACCACTTTTGCTAACAAAAAAGACCACTTAACTAGCCCCAATCGGAATCCTGCACGGAAATAACTGGAAGCCCAACATCGAACCAAAGGAAATCAAAATATGTAAAATCCTTCTTACAATCACATTTATCTAATCATCTCCATGAACCACCCTGATTTGATTTGCAGCTGGGAAATAGAAAATCGAAGATAAACCGATCATTGCCATTAACGATGATAACAGAGAATCAAGGAGGAAAGGGCTTGAAACCTTGATCGACCAATGTGTGCAATGGCCCAAACAGGGGTTTCGGTAGATTCTCCCATTCGTACCAGTTCCATCCCTCACACTTGTTTGGTTCCATGTTCTTCGGCTCTTCGTCTGCGCTGGCCGGATCAGCTCTCATGAAGATGATTACGTAGTGGCGCAGCTTTGGTTCCTCCGCTGGCACGTAGTTCATCGCCGTTAGGAACTCCGTTTTCGCTATATTCATCCCCGTTTCCTCTTTCACTTCTCTGATTGCACATTCCTCGAAGCTCTCGCCTGAATCCAAGCCCAGGAAAAGGAAAATTCAAATTTCCCGAGAAACAAGCAGATGAAATAATCAATAGAGAGCCAAGAGAAAAGGAGGGAAAAGAGAATGACCGAATTCGAGATGACCGCCGGGCAGAGCGAAAGTGGAGTTGCCGACGGTGGAGAGCCGCCGTCCTAAGAGTACGGATCCGCCCTTGGTGAGGAAGACCGCCACGCCCACCCTCGGCACCGGCGCCGCCTCAGGTTTCTCCATTTTGTTGAATGGTTGAAGCGTTCGAGCGTCACTGTGTGGCAGTGTCTGTGTTGTGCCACCTAGCTGTTTCAATTTTCAGCTGCTTTGTATAGAAGCAACGATTTGGCTGTTCATTTGTGGCGCGGCGTCGTTTTGAAATTCGAAAACCATTGTTTGGTTGGTTAATAGTAATTTGAATTCTCGTCTTTCCTGTCCTGCGAATGGTCAAAACTAAAAGCTGGGAAGTACGAAATTGGGTCCCACTTATAGTTTGGGACCCGCGGGGTCCTCACGGTCAAAGTGGAGGGCGTGGGTCCCACATTTCATATTTGACCTGCGGGATTTGGACCGTTTCTGCATCTGTAGTTAAATTTTTAAAAAATGATCAAAAATTGAACCAAGCAAACCTCTTAGTTTGACTCTTCCATTTATGATTGTTAAGATTTCATATTCTTGAACTTTGCATCTGAATTAAATGTATTTTGTAGATTTTCAAACCCAATCATATTAACTATTAACTAATATCATAATTATCTGTTTTAATATATCATATGTTGATTGATTGATGTTATAAAATGAGAGAAAACAAGAAAACTAGAGAGTAGAAGAAAGAACAAGAGATATGCAAGATAATGACTTTTCTCGTCCACTTTGTTTCATGGTTTGAAAACTATGCTTTTAATTGAATTATTTGGAATATGCAAAGCAATAAAGAACTTGGGTATTGGTTATAAATTTATTACCTAGTGACTACTCGGCATTTGAAATTTTTAATCCTCGAAAATATATATGCTACCAGTTTTGATACTCATCGTTTTAATGAATATTTTAAGCTCATCAAATTTAGATCATTAGGTTAGGATTTGATTTTTTATTATTTTTATTTGGTCAAAATAATTATTTTAATATGGATGAAATCTAAAATAAAGATAATTTATTAACTATCGTTTTTAAAAAAAATAGTTTTTTTTATTTAAAACAATTAATTAAAGATTGTAAATCTGAACCATTTAAATCAAATATAGATGATCCAGATTTGACGAGCTTAGAGTACTCATCAAAACGATGAGCACTGAAACTGATTTCAAATATATATATATATATATATATATAGTAACGAACTAACGTTAGTGAAGTGTCTCTTCGTCGCTTTCAACTAGAAAGGATTATCCTATATACTTCAGTTACCCTTCATTTGTCTATCAAAGATCAGACATTCTGTGCTTGGAGGCTGCTAGCTTCATCAATGAGAGAGTTACGTATCGTATAATAATCCCTCAATCACTCTGTGGTTACCTAGCCCTACAGTTTCCAATATAATTTCGAGTTAAATTTTTTGTCTTGTTGTTCGTGAACGGCTTTCAGGTTTTCATGATAGATGCAGATATTATACGGTGATAGTACGATGAAGAACCAAATGAATGAAAATACGAGGCGTACAATGAACGAAATCAAACTTTATATGTATATCTGTGGTTACGTTGCTACGCTTTAAAAAACGAGGCGTATAATGAATGAAATCGCATATATCGACGCAACAAGGAGTTGATGGATAGGAACAAAATGGTGGGAATTATCCCACACAATGATTTTGTTACAAAGAATGAAGATCGAAGAATTTGGTTCGTTGGCTTCGGCCCGGAATTTGTGGATTACTAGCTAATTAATTTTTTATGAACAAATTTTGGGTATATAATGCGGAAAATTAATTGGAGCAGATTTTTTACATTAATATAATTGCTAATGTATTATTTATTTAAATATGTAAAATATAAATTACAAATTTAAATATTCGATATGAGGTAATTTTGGAAACAACTTTGCCATTGTTTTTGCTAACAATCTTCTCAAAAATGTTAGAGCCTTCTATGGAGCTGGGTAATTGATGCAAGGTGAGGGATCTGCTCGGCAAGAGTCTCTCCTATTCTTTTCCATCCTCTTATCATACCCTTCTTTAATCATGACCGTTAATTTCATTGAAAGGCTCTTTTAGCTAATTTTTTTTAATTTATTTTTTTGTCTCAATCGCAGGTGCAAACTAGGTGTTTTAGTTTTTTTCCTCTTCTCTTTTTGTAGATACAAGTATCTTTTTATTAAAAACAATCATATTCGAGATATTGTCAGACATTAAATATAGACATATCTCTTAATAAGAATTTAAATCTTGATTTATTATGTCATGGGGACTAATTTTTTTACTAGAACTAAGAGTGTTGGTAGGTGTTTCAGTTTCGGGACCAAAGAAAGTTGCATCCCGTTTGGTCCACGATACATGTACATGTAAACCTCAATCCTAGAGCCGCTTTGGTCTTGGATTGTCTCCAAATTGGGTTTCACAGATGCTTACCATGGTATGTAGGCTGTTTGAGGTTTTTTTTTCAAGAGTCAAAGTGTAAATTTACACATTATTTTATGTCCTAGGTACACTTAACATTCCAATTTTTTTAACGATATAATTTTACCCATTTTTTTGGGTGCAATTTTATATTCTTCATCTGAAGATTACTAGTAAAATTGCACCCAAAACAATAAGATAATGGGTAAAATTGTATCTCAAAAAAAAAAAATTAGTAAAACAATACCACTAAAAAGATTGAGGTATTAGGTGCATTTAAGAAATAAAATCAAGAATTAATTTGCACCTTTACCCTTTTTATGTATCATTTTATCTAGTTATTAATTGCGATAAATCTTAGTCAAATCAATTCCAAAAATTTTCCATTAAAGAAGGTTTTAGCACCTCAGCGACATTTTTGTTCCTTTTTGTCCAGTCCACTTTTTGGATTATTATTTGATTTATTTCAGATTTTGGACCTTAAATGAAATCCATCAATTATATATGAAGCATGATTGATATATTTTTCAGTTTTTTGGTCAAAGACATACTTTTCAATTTGGGGATCACATAATTTTACCAAAGTGGCATGACCAGAAGTCCAGAATTAATTAGGTCAAACTTTGATTTTTTTTTAAATGTGAGTTTAAAGTTCAAAATTATTTTTCTAATATAAAATTACATTATAAATTGTCATAATAATAAGATTAATTGCACTATCAGACCTCTCAACACAACTAATAAAGGAGAACCTCAACTTCATTTGTCTCACAAAGTCTCAATCACATATATAGTAGCTAGTGATTATCTGATAGAGCTTCGTCGGAATCGAAGATAAACGAAGCATCGCCGTTAACAGTGATAACAGAGAATCAGGTAGAAAATGGATTGAACCCTTCGTTGACCAATTTATCCAGTGGTCCAAACAGGGGTTTCGGAAGATTTCCCCATTCATACCAATCCCATCCATCACACTTGTTTGGTTCCATGTTCTTCGGCTCTTCCTCTGGATCGGCTAGTTCGGCTCGCATCGAGATGGTGACGTAGTGACTCGGCTTGGGTTCATCCAGGAACACGTTGTTCGTCACCATTATGAACTCCGTTTTCGTGATCTCCAGCCCCGTCTCCTCTTTCACTTCTCTAATTGCACATTCCTCGAAGCTCTCGCCTGAACACGGAGGAAAGAAAATTTAAATTTCCTGAGAAACAAACAGTTAGAATAATCGAGGGATAGAGAAGGGGAAAGAGAGTGACCAAACTCCAGGTGGCCGCCGGGCAGAGCGAAAGTAGAGTTGCCGACGGAGGATCGCCTCAGACCTAAGAGAACTGATCTCCCCTTCAGGAGGAACACCACCACGGCCACTCTCGGCACCGGCGCCACTGCATCTTGACCATTCATCTTTTGGCAGATTCGTTGATTCGTTCCACACTTCTGCTTCATTTTGTTTTATAGAACCGTCTGTGAAGACGGCGTCGTTTTGGGAAGCAAGTGAATGTTTTGGAGGTCATGTGGATACTCCCCAAGGCGAAAGTCGTAAGCATGGGTCCCACATTCCATTTTGGTGCGTCTCCATCAATAGATGCTTGACACGTATTCTTCAGTTGTTGCTAAACTGTAAACAAAAATAAATAAATACTATTCCAATTCTTGGGCTCCAAGTTTAGTGCTTTCCTCTTTATCTTTGTGTGGGTGTCGGTGTGCTTTTTTCTTTCTTTTCCCCCCCGGTTTTACGTTGTTTTTTGGCCAGCGTGCAATTCCTGGACAGTTGGCCATCGGTATTCAGTATTTTAGTTGATGATGCTCGAGAATGTATTTAAACTAACTTGGAAATACTACACAGTTCATTGATTTAATTAATATACCTCCGCTCTTTAATATAAGATCTATTTAATTAATTTGATTAGATTAAGGAAGTTAAGTAAGTTAGTTAATTATAAGAAAATTGACACATTTTTTCTGAAACACCATTATCATCTTGTTTAATATCCCCTCACTCTTTTCTACTTGATTATGGTTGAGGGAGTATTCATAGGGGCAATTTAGAAAAAATTGATAAATATGAGAAATGAGTTTTATATTTAGGATCAAGACTAACTCAAGAATTGGGTCTTATATTAAGGACCGGAGGAGTAGTTAAATTTTCAATAATTTATCATTATCCAACAATAACATCTAAAATTGGTGCAGGATATAATACTAGTATGAAATAATGATTGGAACCTTTAAAAATAACTTTTAAATCGTGATTTATAAAATATGAAATAAGTATGTGAGAAGAGTTTTATCTTAATTTATATAAAAAATATTTATATGAGTGATTCCAAATGAGTGCGTAGGTGATCCAAATGTCATGTAAATTTATTTCCTTAGATTAGGCCAAAGATCATCTTTAAAAGTATTCAGCATCAAGAGATGATTCATGAAGAATTACATGGCTTTTGAATAATTCGGGAAATTGAATTCGAATCAACATATTTGAGAGTGTGGGTAGAACGGAGGGGTCGACTTGGTTCTTCATCCTTCATGAATTCAATCATTCTCTCCAAAAGGAAGTTATCACACTTGGAATCAATCTTATCACATGCTCATTTTGGAAGTTCGATGCAAGACAACAAATACTACCTCCGGTCTTAATTATAAGACCCAGTTGACTTATTTGAGGAGATTAAGAAAGTAAGTTAAGTTAGTTATTTGTAATAAATAAGTGTTGTCATTCCTAAAATATCCTTGCTAATTAAGTGTATTGGCTAGAATTATCATTATTAGAATGACTATTTTGGAAAAAAATACATAAATATAAGAGACAAAATGGATTGAGATCTTATAATTAGGACCAAACAAAAAGTCAAACAGGGTCTTATATTAAGGACTGGAAGTAGTATATTGAAAGAAAATGCATTAGAACAGACTTGAAAATTAACTAAAAGGAATATATTAGCTCATGTAATTAATATCAGAGCTAAATAACTAATTTGATAATATTGAAAAAATTTCAAGTTAGTTATTGATAACAAATTATGTTGGTTTTCTTAAAATATCATATTTCATCATATCTATTGTAACTACTTTTTGGTGAAAATTTTATAAATTTAGAAGATAAAATAATTTTTTTTTCTGCCAATCAAAATACATTGTGATTTTAGAACCAAATGCAAATCCCAAAATTAAAGATAAGAAGTACTTCTCCGATCCTAAATATAAGACTGCACTTACTAGATGTTCAATAGTTTGTATCCAAATAATTAAAAATTTGATACCTTTTCTCGTAAAATGTAAACACACTTATTTTAATTTATGACAAAAGAAAAAAAACACAACTATTTTAATAGTCGTTCTCAAGTGGCATATCACAAATACTACTCTCTCATGGTTATCAATAGGATAAAAAACAAACAAATGAAAAAACACAAGAAAAAGGAAAAATAGAAAAAATTATGATGATATCGGCATTAAACAATCCATTCAGCTGAAAAAATTTTAATCATTCATGAATTTAGGGGCATTTTTCAATCAATATCTTTGTTCTCTAAATTTAATCTGGTGTACTATTTTTAGAAATTAATAATTTATTTGATAAATTTTTGAGATTAGATCATAACTTTGAGGACTATTATAAATGTTTTAAAAAGGAAAAATATATTTTTATATGAAAAAGAAAAAAAAATACTACTACTATTTAATTTGCTAAACTGTTAAGAATAGGCCCAGCAATCAAATCAGGCCCATTTAGCTGCCAGCATGAAGACCAGCTCCCCAGCAACTTTCCGGGACTCTGCTCTCTGCATCTCTGGTTCTTGGCCCCAAAACTCCATTCAGCCCTCCCCCTGCGCGCGAGAGCAGTTTTCAGTTCTGGCGCAAGGGTAGCTGTTAAAGCTGTAGGTAACTATTAGAGCTGGTCTGAATCTCTGTTGGAAAAACTAAGTTTACTCTGCCAAACGAATTAGTACTGTACATGGTGATGGTCTATTAGTTTCCAAGCCTCCTCAACTGCACATAAGTGACGGCGCATTGATTGGTGCCGAATCGGGCAATCTAAGTTGAAAATATTTTCCGCCCAATTTTCAAGATTTTACATTCAGACTCCCCATCACACATCGGACAACCCGAGTTTCAGAGAGGCCAAGCTGGATTTTTCCAAATAGGTCCACTGATGTTTATTACAACGCAACGTTTTTGGCTGCCCCTGTTGAGTGTAAGTTTGTAATTACGTTCTTTGCTTCTATGGTGACAAAAAAACGGGGCGATACGTTTCTTGTGAAATGTGATGAGTGATGGGATCTTAGCTTAAATTTTCAATGTTGAGTCATGTATTTGTTTGTTTTGGCGGAATTGGTTATGGGATCCTTTTCCAGTGTGGTAGTGCAACGGATTTTCAGGTGGGGTATAACAGGGTATGATGTTGTGGTAGTCATGTATGGTTTAGATGGTTATCCTTGGTGATATGGGTTGATGATGCATTATTGGATTTCAGGAGAAGACGAAGAAGGACAACAATGAGCCTCGAGTAAATGAAGAAATCACTGCTCAGTTTGTCAGGCTTGCTGTTGATGATGGTAAAAATATTACTACTCCTGATAATGGCATGTAAATTGTTTATTTGTAATATGGTCGCCGTTGTTTGGGGCATGGAAGGCTCTTTTCAGTCTAATAATGAATACCTTCGGTAGGAATGATTATAATTCAATTGGTAATCAAATATCAACTTATTAGGAAGAGGTTGTGTTGGCTGTTAATTACTGTTTTGGAGAAGGGGAATGCTAGTGCAACTTACACTGAAAGGGGTCAACCGCTAAAACTGTGGGTTGTTGTTTTAAACATTTGCTAGAGCATAAAGCTACCTGTCACACTTCCATTTTAATAAGACGTGTTCACTCATCACAGGTTGTTATTTTCTCTTACTTTCTATTGAGCAATTGTGACTACGATTAACAAGAATATGGTATGGAGCATACTTAGGAAGTTAGGATAAGACCACCAAAGGATTTATGGAGATTTATAGTCGTGTGCATATAATAAATGATAGATGTCTGGAACACAGAATATAGACACGTGCGGCTATGCAGTATTTTCAATCAACAATGGAATTGGAAAGATACGTACCTGCAGATTTGGGAGCTTGTAACTGTATAAGCTTTTTTTGAACCCTGACTTTCCCATCAAATTTATGTATTCACACAGGACATTCAATGGTTTTGAGGCTTTAAGCACTACAACGAGCTAGGAGGCTCAAGCTTGATTTGGTGGAGGTAAATTTTTTTTTTCTTGATGGTCTTTTGCCATGTTGTCTGAGAATTCTAAAATTCCAACAGAAGAGCTGAGTTGAAATGGGCAATGAGTAAAATATTTTAGTTTTCTGAAGGATTTATTGATTTTTTTACTTGTGGGACTTTTTAAAGTTTTGTATGTGGTGTGGACTGTGAGTCTTCAATCTTAAGATGAGGTGGAGAGACTTTGTCTAATTTCATATGGCGATAAATTTTATCACTAACAACAAAAAGAAGAAGCTTTTGTTTTTCTGGAATAAAAAGAAGCATCTTATATTTGGGCTATATAGTGGTCGTCTCACCTTTATGCCCACATATAATTTTTGTTCTCTCTTGGAAACTGAGTGCCATATTTAGCCTTATAAGAAAGAATCTGGATGGAATGGTTAGATTCAGCATATAAGAATGGTTGTACTGGCATTTGTAAATTATACAATGAATATTATGTTTGTTCTCAACTCTGTCACAAGGGCCTCCTTAATTTTTGATAATGTTGTTTAAGTTCAGAGAAACGTGAAACTGCTTGTCTGCAAAATTATGGACTACCATAAGGAAAATTACATACAACAAGGAAGGGAAAAAATGTATGCTATGAGCAAGGTGCAGTATGCTGTGCTGTTTTGCTGTTGTTTACTAGTAGAAATTATAGACAAAGATTAGGATTTTGAATAAGAATATGAGGATCTTAGTTAATATTAGTGAGCTGGTTTTTGAGAGTTCACTAGGGTTTATGTAAGCCTCACTGCTCGAAGATCAGTTATAGAAGACAGAGGCACTTCTTGATTTTTTGCCACCGAGATTATCACATTGATGGTGGGACTTGAATGTATACCCTTGTGGGGTATGAGATCAGTCCTTACTAGTTGAATCTGTGTCCTTATGAACACAAGCCTTCTACGTGAAAGGGAAAAATCTTATCATCAGCAATAATAACATCCTTCACAAGTAGATTTTTCCTTCTTATTTTAAAATTAATAATAATAATTTTTAGGTGTATATTTTGCTGGCGTGCTTCCTACGGTTGTAAGTTTAAGAAATGTATCACAGTATCGGCTTGTTAAAGTTGTTATGTACTTATGTTATATAAATATATAGACGAGACAGTAACACCATTGGCAGATTAAGCTGCGATTTTCCTGCTAGCCCCAAAATAAATGTAATGTAGAGCAGTGTATTCATGGCTTGCAGCATCATGATCAGATCTCATTACATCCTTAATCTATTTTCAACCTTTTTGGGGCTCCTGGAAAATAGACCTGAAAAATCTTTGGTGTGGGACAAAAAATAAATGGACCATGGAGTTTATAACACTTTTGTACCAGTTGGTAGAATAATTTATGTGTATCTGGTATTCTTAATGCAGGGATGGTTGGCAAGTAAAATCTACAGCCGAGCAAGCTGTTTCAATGACTGGAAAATGAACCTTTGCATATTGTTTTTCACTCTAACTTAAGATAGTCCATATGTATAGGGATGCACGCGCGCGCAACATTGTTTTAATAAACTAGTTATCACATGCATGTGGAGTTGAGTT